GATGAAGAATTCAGATGATCTTAAAGCCTCAGCAACTTGTTGAGCATTCTTTTTTTGGGAAACTTTGTCTCGCTGTGCTCAATTATATTATTTTTCAATTGTGAATATGGTTCATGACTGTTCAAAGATTTTAGTTAATTCAATTTGGTGCTACACTAGACACAATTTGATAAATCGCCATTGAAATTATACGATATTTTAAAATCATCGGCTTAATCGCATTCAGTCAAAAGTAAATTGAATAAAATGAGTTGAATTTGTAATGAGCTGAGAATGTTCATTGCGGTTGCTACGTTCAAAAACTCATTACGTTTAAAAACAGTTGGTAGAAAAAAGTGCAAAGACTACCGAAGGAATACTAGGTATATTTCCTTACATGAATACGATCGATGAGAAATCGCTGATATTACTTTCCGTTGAATTCACTATTTCTTCGACATTTTCTTAAGCGAAGGCGAAAGAGTGGACAAAACTGCTCGAAAGCTTCGATACTTTGATGCATTTTGCAAACTTTCAGTGCGGAATATTTGTTTCTGCGAACCGTGTTTTAGTATGAACGTCGACAGTGGGCCTCGAGAAATTATTACTTAAATTATGTTATTTATGNTCGAAGACCTCAACATATCTGCTGTGCAGAAATTGTAAGTAGAACGGCAGGAATTGGTTGTTCGTGAATGAATCCAATGTGGCTTGTTAGGAAGATGTGACGAGGAAGATTAATTATAATCTAAAGTAAAGTTTGATTGCAGGTGTATTCATTCTTATCGGTTGCCACTATCAAACAAATAGTGGAATTGTTTTTGTGGACGAAGATGCACTCATATGGCCTTGGGGCCCTAATTCAGGCCCTACTAACAGGCCTCGTTTGGGCCTCCACATCTGTTGAACGGGCTCCTCCTGGTACCTCGTCACTGACGTTTGTTTTCGACACAACTGGTTCAATGAATGACGACTTGATACAGGTTCAAGATGGAGCCAGAAAGATTCTCGACACTGTCCTGAAACAACGAGAAAAGCTTATTTATAATTATGTTTATGTACCTTTTCATGATCCAAGTAAGCACTTTCTCAGTTTCGTTGGTTGTATTCTTCTTAAATTATGAAATAATATATCTTGACCGTATCACTGCCGCAGTTTCGAAAGAAATGGCACAAAATCATCATCAATATTTTCCATTATCCCAAAAATCGTTCTCAAATGAAAACTCTTCTACT